CCAATAGTTTTAAAAACCAACAGGAAGTACTGTGGTTTTTGAACTTTTTTTGTACGAGCTTTGGGATTAAGCGAATGTTTCACACTAATTTTTAAAACAAAATACGGTTAAGCACATAAAATAGAGTATGTGTTAACATTGTGAAGCAGTTTGGATCAATTTTGACTGAATTATGATTTCTTCAATTTTCGGTGAGAACACTGAAAACTGGATTATTTTTGGTCGAATAAGGGTTTTCCCAGACTTTTTCGAAAAACAAACATTGCCATAGGATTCAGCGTGATCGATAACCTATGTTCCATGTGTTATGAAAGTTCCCAAATATGAAGTTTAGCCAATAGATAGGTCCTAGAATATTACCCATATGGGAGTAAGAATTTGGAACTTGTGTAGAGAGGACAGTTTAAAGAGGACAGTCTAGGGGTTCGAATAAACCTGTCAGAATTCAAAATACATTATTTCTCTTGAAATGGGTAGCTTTCAGATTTTGTTCGACGAGGTACACCATTGTAGATCTAATCGGAAGGCATGATTTCTCCATAGATTTCTTTTCCAGTAGCTCCTCTAACAAATACTGGAAACCGCATGGTTCTAACTCTTTCTGTTAAAAAGTTATTCAAAAAATACTTTTTTCCATTCTATTCTGAAATGGGTAGTAGATTACTAAATTTTACGATTTTCTAACTTCAAACATCACATAATTCATGAATTTATTATATTCCAAGACTACACATTCCCTACAAATGTCAGGGAATGTATAGATTCCCCAGGGAATGTGAATATTCCCGGATTTCCTACATTCCCTGTAACATATATACCCCACCCCAAGGCTCTTGATCTATGAGGTAGCACTCATATACAGAATTCATCAAACGTCTTCAGCAAATCATACGATATGTCATTCCATAGAGGTCTTTAAGCTCTGTCGATTATATGATCCACTTTTTAAAATTTGCCATTTTTTGTCCAAAAAAGATTTGACAACGTGATCTAAGATCTTAAATATGACCTGATGACTCTATCATCATTCGCTCTTTTGTTCTGCTCTTATACTATATAAATAACACTGAAAATAACTAAACTTTATATTGTCAGTTTGCTTTCAGATTACGCTCGTACTTCGCAGTTCGAGACTATTAAGAGAGTGAAATGTTTAAAAAAATGCGAGTTAGTTTCTCACTCAGTTTTTCTTACTTAGATTCTGGAAAAATAAAGTATTGAGTGGAAAATTTTATAGTAATAGTCTAGTTTAATCACCAAAATAATTTCCTGTTTTGCTATGCTGCTTTAATCAAACGACCTGCAATTCAGTAGTATAGCTCTTTTTGGAAAGCATCTGCTTAGATTGTCAAAATACTATTCAATGTATCTTTTTTTATTCTAATTTCATTCAGTCAAGCACCTTTTTAACAAACGATGGATGATCTATATATTTATACAGCTGTACAACTCTCAAGTGTCATTTCCTTATCAAGTGGTACCTTGTTATAAATTTTAACGAAAACAATAAATGAGAAAATGTATTTCATGTTCTTGAATATGATTGATTTAAATCATTTTTCTCATCATAGTCAATTTTGGAGAGAGAACAAAACTAGTTGACAGATTGAAATTTTCTTTTCTAAACGAAACAGAGTACTTGAAAAATTCAATCAATGTTAGATAATCATTTTTAAGATGCTTTTCTGAATTAGAAATCCATATAAACATGACCTTTTCTAGAATATGTATGTCCATTTTTGTCAATGTGTAGTACAGCAAACAACTTTTTCCATAGAACATGAGGTAATACTAAAGCATCGCTATTTATATTTAGAAATTTTTTCAGAGTTAAACGATCATCAACTGTTATATTCACGAAGAAAAAATTTGATTTCTAAAGATCATTTAATTTTGTCACAATTCTAAAAGAGTGGAAAGTGTGATATAAATTTTTTAAAAAGTGATACTAATTTAGATCTGAAACTAAACGACAGCAAGTGGCAATTATTTTGAATTAGACAATTATTTGACATGTTTAGTCATAGTCATATATTATCGCCGTTATGGAGAAGTAGTTGTGTTTGAATGAGAAAGAAATGTTTTTTTTGTTTTTTTTGCAAACTAAAACATTTAATTTGTGATAAAAGTCCTTAGTAGAGAATAAATGTCTCATGAAATGGAAAACAATCGATTAAAAAACCATAGGTGTAAGAGAGCTTATTGTAAAATTAAATCGATATTATCTATAGTCTATACAATTAATATCAAGAGAATAATTGATGATAATTATTGAAAACTATGTTAATACGAAAACTTAGACATTCTTTATCTCTTTGTCAGTGATCGTATCTATCGGAAGTGACGTAAGTTTGTTTTTCTTCCTCATTTATTGTATACATATATGTGTCATAGTGATGATATAGCATCAAATGTGTGTGTGAGTATGCGTGTTCCTGTTATTCAATAACTTCACCTTTGAAAGTGTTCAAAATCGGAGATTAGTTTAATTTTGTTTTGTTATCTGATGAGTAAACAATTTTCTCCTTACGGGTATCGCAAGATTGAAAGATGAGATCATAAATGTTTGATAAAAACAACAACAATAACAAAAAAAAAATCGAAGACACCATTACATTTCCGTAATAGTAGAAGAAGATCGAGTTTAATTTTTTCAATTGTCGGTCTTATTTCATACAAATATAAAATCAATCAAATATATTCTCCAATGGAAAAATAATAATGAATATTTTTCTCAATACGTTGATCATCTGGTACATATATACAGATCAAACTTGATGAACAGACGATAATTAATGTTAAACATTAATTGAAAATCATGAGTACTTTCGAAAACGAAAAAAAAAAATAAGTATGTGTGAATTTAAGGATAAAAGAACTTGAAGAGATTGTGCTTGACATCTGTATATATGAGAGAAAAAAAAAAAACGAGTAAATCAGAAACAGACTTCGAATTTTTTTGACGCTAGCAAGAAAGATTGTTACTTGTTTTTCTAAATTTCATTCATATGTGAGAACGGTCAAGACACTCCAATATGAACATTGTTATTGTTCTCATGCATAGATGCCTACGTATATATAGATCATATTGTTATTTTTTTGAAAAGTTCTTGAAAAATAAAAACGTGGTCAGCACAACATATTTTTTGTGTCTTTCAGGTTATTGATTGAATAGTAGATCTATTGTTCACTTTATATTTACTTAAATCAAGTGGATCCTTCATAGTGATCGGCAACCTTTGACTATGGAGAAAACAAAGAAGAGAAGGTTGTTGTTCGGAATATGGGAATAATTTCTTCTTTTTTTTTTTTTTTCTAGAAAAACATAAAAAATTTAGAACAAGCACTTCTAAAATGTAAGTGGACAGGTCATTGGATGTATGACGAATAGAGAGAAGAGAGAAAATATATCATAAGTAGTTCGTATATCTACTTGTCACATTTCAATTTTCAAGATGAGAAAAAACATATAGTGAATATCAGAATTTTGTCGATAATTAATTTTCTCATCTAGAATATATAATTTGATTAGAAATTTTAGTTTTCTTTTCAAGGTAAAGTATTATTTAATTAAGAAAGCTGTCTTGTATTTTTTGAAAGGATAATGAAGTACTTTTTGTAGTTTAGTGAGTTTCAAACGTCACAAACTATAGTACGTATGTTATACTGACTTATTTTTAATAGATCGATATCTAAAGCTTTTGGAAAAAAAGGGTGCTTAAAACAAATTTTCGAAAAAAAACTTTGGAAAAGTTTTTATTGGCTACCGAGTGGAATGTAAAATTTATTTTTCTCTCTCTCTTTTTCCCTTTTATTTTTTTGATCAGCATAAGACACAATGCTACATTTGAAAATTAGAGATTGAGACCAGAAAAACTTTTAAAACTTGCATGTTTTTCATTTATTTTGTATAATGCTGATGTAAACTAACTGAACTAATCGCAAGTAGAAAAAGGAAGAATGCCCAGTCTTACAGCTACTGTTACCGTTTTAGGATGCTGATAGTGTCACTCTCAATATCCGATATCTTCCCCGCAGTTGATAAACATCTGACATGGCTGCCCATATTATTGTGATTCTTCAACTGTAACTCAGGTTAGAACGCTGGAAAAGAACGTAGAGTTCTTTTCACCTGATTGAACAGACTTGATCTGAGGCAGATTCGAGAGTTTAACTATTTTTCCAAATAATCACGTGAGCATGTAGACTATTTTTCAAAAATTGTAGATGTTTGATAGAGAAATGAGGTTAATAGTGAATATCAAAATACTTCCAGTTTCCTGTATAACTCTTTGACAAAAATGTTAGCTTATACAAATATTTTGAGTTTAAATGCATTTCATTGTACCGATATTCACAATATAGACTTCCTTCAGTTTCCGATATTCTTCTGTTTTTAAACCATGTTCCGATAAAAATGTCTGTATAATGAATATTTCATTATCATCATCATCATTATTCCCCAACGGCACTAATGTGACCTTGCTCGATTGAACTAAAAATTTGTCTCTATATTTGTTCAAAAATGAAAAATAACTTGATGATGACGATGAATACATTACCCACAAAAAAAAAGCAATTGTCTAGTATTTGATTACAAATTGTTCGTTAACTAAATACCCGAAGGCCAGTTCAATTGTCGTTTATATTTTTGATAAAATAAACGCCACCCCTTCAAGGTTGACCATCATCAAGGTAGGAATACTATTACATCACGTATACATATAGAATATTGTTGACTTGAAAATTTATTCGTTCTTTCTGTAAAAATTTGTCCGTTTGAACGCGGTACTGTTCTCTTGCATGATGTCACCTTTAAGTGATTTTATGTGAAATTGAGAGAAGAGAAAAAGAGTGAAAACGAGTTCAATTTTTTTTTTTGTTCTTCTAGGATAATGTTCATCATGACACTTATCCATAGAGAGAGTGAATAATTTACAAGACAAACATAACCAGTTATCTGTAAATATATTTGTGTTTTGTAGATTTGAGTTAAAATGATGATTTCAATATTCTTAGTAATTTCAATTTATTTAATAAACAAATCATTTTCTCAATTAGATTCATTTCCGTATTATTCAATACAAGAAAAATTACCCATAGCAAGTAGGTGACAAATTTCATGTATTCAATTTTCTGCTTAATAGTGTTACAATACACCATCTTATTTGATATTAGACTTTAAATTCATTTAGAATTTTTTAAAATATTTACTACTACTTGTTTTCTAGCATTAGTTGTCGATTTATCAAAAACTCAAAATTTATCATTATCTGCCGAATATTCTTATTTTGATCTAACTCAAATTGGCACAAAACTATTTTTATTAGATAAATCTCGCATTTTAACATCAGTTATACTCGATCGTGATCAAATGTGTTTGAAACAACAATGTTCTTGTTTATCATGTCAAATAAGTCTTGAAATAATCATTAAATTACCTTCTCATACTATTTATGAAACGATGCAAATTCGAATTATCGATTTAAATGATCATACGCCAACATTCACTCAAAATAATCAAACAATTGAAATCAAAGAAAATGTACCGTTAGGTATGGTTGTAGGCTTATTAAAACATCTGTACAAAATATAAGCATCCTTCTTATTTTAGGTTATCGTGTAGTACTTCCAATCGCCACAGACGAAGATGAAGGTATCGAAAATTTTATTCTATCATATTCTATCCCTTTGATTTCGTATTTCTGATAGTGGTATCTATCACAACCATTTGTAAAAATATACTAAACGGCACCGTCACTTTACATAGGAAGAACCGTTGTCATCTTTCATGTTCTAACTCGTTATTTCATTTTCAGGTGTAAATAGCGTTCAATCCTATGATTTGAATGGTTTCGATTCGTCTGATTTTGAACTCGATTATTCGTCTTTGGATGCACTTTATCTTGTTGTTAAACGTCCTCTTGATCGTGAGAAGATCTCATCGTACAATTTAAAACTGACAGCATCTGATTATGGTAAACCATCGCGTTCTGGTTTTACACAATTAAATATCCACATTTTGGATGTTAACGACAATGTGGCCCAGTTTAAACAACCCGTTTATAATGTTGATGTCAAAGAAGATTTGCCTATTCACTCAATTCTACTCAAAGTCGAAGCGACAGATTTAGATATCGGTGAAAATGGACTTGTCCATTATCAACTTTTAAACAGTGAACAGTTGCCTTTTACAATAAATTCATCAACAGGCGAGATATCTCTGCGTTCACCATTAGATTATGAAACTGTCAGATTGTATCGTTTAACTGTAAAAGCTCAAGATAGTGGTCAAGATTCAATGCCAACATATGCTACGGTACTCGTCAATGTACTGGATTGCAGTAAGTATTTATAAGTAATTCTTTTTTAATTATCTTCAGTAGCTCTCTGTTTTCTATCAAAAAGATGATAATCCACCTCAAATTACAATCAAAGTTGAAGGTAATACAACATTGAGACAATCCAAAAATCCACTAAGAACAACTCTATTCGTTCAGGAAGATGTGTCTCTAGGTAAGTTTTATTTTACAATCTCAATTTTGTTAGAACATTTCTGATATCTGTTGCTATTTTTAGGTACAACATTGGCACATGTTATTCTGTCAGACAATGATTCCTTCGTAAATGGCAATCCTTATTTGCAACTGACCTCTGTTTCTCTTCCAATTCCGTTTGTTCATAAATTACTATATGTTAATGATGTTAAAAACACAAAACTATATGCTCTGGTTCTACAATATCCTCTTGATCGTGAAATAAAATCACTCTACGATAATATTGAATTAATCGCTCATGATTCGGGCACTCCGTCTCTCTCAACTCGTCTCCAATTAACACTAAATATTACCGATGTAAATGACTGCATACCCACATTTGAGAAGAAAATATATGAATTTAACGTTGATGAGAATAATCCTAAGGGATTTCACGTTGGAACATTGATAGCAAGAGATTGCGATTTGGGAATGAATGCTGAATTCGAATATCATTTAGTTAATGAAACTGATGATCTTTTAAGAATAAATTCAACAACCGGAGAATTATTTATAATGAAAACAATCGATTATGAATTATTCAATAGTACAAAAAAAATTTCAACTATTTATAATATGGAATTTAACGTAAAAGTTATTGGTAAGTGTTATGAACTTTGTCAAATTTAAAAATATCTGTCCATTGTGTTGATGAAGATGATATCAGTAAAAAGTTGTTCAAAACTTTAACTCTACTTTCGAGTATTTACTTTATAGATCACGGACAACCGCCATTAAGTAGTGAAGTACGTGTCTTACTTCGTATCCATGATTTGAACGATAATGAACCAATATTTAAATCCTTAAATAATTACAACTGGACCATTAAAAGTTCAAATTTAAAACCGTATGATGTTATTGGTCAAGTGCAAGCAACAGATGCCGATTGTGGTCTACAGGGATTAGTTCGCTACGGCATAGAACCGCTCTCCTCGAAAGAAGAATGTCTCGTCTTGGGAATAACTAAATCTGGTTTTGTTTATATTGTTTCATCTTCATGTATATTTGATCATCAAAGATTATTCCGTTATCAAGTACATGCTCATGATCTAGGAACACCCATATCCAAATCAGCAATACAGATCTTAAATATTGTGGTTAATCAAAATTTAACACCAAAACATTCATATCCACAATTAGTATCTGATATGGCACTTCTTAGTAGACAAGAAAAGGTAACTATTTTTTTTTTCATAAACTGCGACATTTTCTGATGAGTTTGTTTAGGTTTTTGTGTCAACTGTTACTGATTTAGCACAAGTATTTGTAAATAATGTTTTATTTATTGTCAATGTTGATATTATGAATTATTCTCTACCTGAAATTCGTGTCCAAAATGCTTCATCATCTTACTGGACTATCACTTTGGATGGGCAAGTTTCAATTGTTGGTCTACCAGTATCAAGTTCAACTACTTTTGATATTCTCGTCATTGACATTTTCAATTCATCGTATTGGACTCAAATTTCTATTCAAATAGAATTGTGTAATAGTTCGATTGCACGTTCATGTGAATATGCTCAACAACGATTAGTTCGTAATTTTCAATCACTCGATAGTACAGCAGTAATTCGCGATCAATCTCATCTATTATCATGGGCAATTGGACTTGCTCTGTTGATGACATTCGTATTTATCGGAATATTTTCAATGATTACATGTTTATGTTGTCGAAAACATCAAAAACAACAACACCATGCAACACATCAACAAAATCAATTTTTACAATGTAATGATGATTCTAACAGTGAAAAGGTATGTTGAACAAAGTTCAGTATATGAAAGAGTGTGTAACTAACATTGTCTTCGTATATGTAGACTGAAAGTTCAAGTGATCAATTTAAAACATCTTCCGTATCGACAACCCTTCCAGATATGAGTGGTAAGACTAACGAATATTTTTTTCGTTAATTTTTTTCATCATGAGTATTTTCTTTTAGGTGATTCAATTCAGATAATAAATCGTCAAACGTCATCTTTATCCTCCTCATCTCCCTCTCAATGGGCCTATTCACTAGTTCGACAAGCAAAACCTTCACAAACAGACTCTCGTTATTGTAGAGAATCAACTGTTCAACTTTACAATGAACAAAAACCGTCATATTTCTATGATATAAAACTAGCTGAATTATTAAAAAAACAAAATCCACAATGTTTGCATTTACGCTCTCCACCCGTACCTCCACTATCAGTTTCTCTCACTACAAGTACAGACTATGGTTGTTTTGGTAGTTCAGATTTATCATCTGAAGACACATCGATTGAAAATCGTCATCAAATATCACAAGATAGTTTTCCGTTTAGTTTGAATTCTGACTGGGGAATTGAAATGACTATTGATAATCTTAATTCGTCAAAAAATCAGTTTATATCGACAAAAGAGTGTGTTGTATAAATGTCTTATCTTATTTTATTATTTATATAAGTCAACATTGATTTTTCGGATTATAAATTCTTATTCATCAAGTTGTCACGTGAACGTACACGCATGTACAGTAGTCTTACAGACAAAGTCAATTACTCATTTTAGCTCTTATAAGACGACCTATTCCCATGTTGCAAGCTAGTTAATTAAGAGAAAAAGTATAGGTTTTTGTCATGTGTATTAATTAGGTCTACCCTTTTTTTAATAAAAGAAAGAATAAGATGTGACAGATGACTGTAACAAACTGAATTCAACGTCTTCCGGAGTACTCTTAACATATGAATGTTGTCAATTTTTCAGAAGAGGGCTAATAATTGAATTCAAAACTTGTGAACTCAAGCGTCTTAAACAAATAGCTTGTCCATCAAAGTCTATAAAATGACAATACTGCAATACGTATTCTTCTTCATGTAAGACTTGTAACGTATAAGTATATTTTGGGTTGGCGGAATAAAGGACGTTTAAAATTATGCTCTGTCAAAGCTTCAACTAAAAACTTCAATTAAAACTTCAATTTCGTCTCTCGGACTTAAACAATCGGCGAAATAAAAATCTGTGATTAGCATAATGAGTGCGTCCCATTCCGACCAGATTCAGACTAATTCAAACTTTGTGTAAATGGCCTTCTACGTATACTACACTCATACCGATAGCGTACATCACTGTAAACGTTCGTGGACCACATTATAGGTTTTCCAAAATCCTAGGTTTTTCAAGTAAAATGCTTTCTCCGTCCAGGAATAGTTTCAAGAAAAAATAAGATCATACCAGGAGTCAGTGCGTCGAGTTGCATTATGTATAACACAAAAAATTTTCAGAATGGCTATTGACACGCCCGGCAGTGTCAACAAGGAGCTATTGCCACTCCCTGGGCGTGTCAATTAAGAAAACAATTATTTGATATGTCAAGTAAGTGAATGGTTTTTTATGATATACAGAAGAATAGATAATCTTGTCAAAATCAGGCGAAGGTCTATGAAGGAATAATGCCCCGTTTTTGGCACTAATCTCAACTAGTAACACCTAGGAAAGTAAATTGATGTTATGAAACACAAGTGAAATGTGACTATTGCACGGCAAAAGTTCGGGAAGTCAACTGGGACCGTCCCAAAAAGAGTAGTAAAAAGGCAGTAGACCCTGCAAACGATTCATTAATTCATTTTACATTTGTCCCAACGTTGGCAAATTTCAAAATCAGTTTTCTGTCAGTTATAGGTCGACGCTGTTGAGGATACACTATTCGCAGATGTCTTTCGCCACCAGATTGTCCGAGAACAATAAACATGCTAATTAGAAAATAACTTTTAAGATCCTTGTTATGAGCGCAGTTCGCTGCACACTAATAAATTGTTTTATTTAGATCTTCAACATCTACTATTAATCATCATTAACCATCACTAGCACTTATTACTTATTTCCATGACTTATTATTATTTTTAAGACTTAGAACAATCAAAAAACTCATTCGGATGGGGAACGGGATATTGTAGGTGAACTCCTCTCATACTGCCTCTCAAAAACCATTCACTTACTTGACATATCAAATAATTGTTTTCTTAATTAACACGCCCAGGGAGTGGCAATAGCTCCTTGTTGACACGCCCGGGCGTGTCAATAGATTCACCCAAAAATTTTAGATCGAACAAATCCCTGTCGAAATTTCATCCCATGGAACTGTAAGATCAATTTTCGAAAAAAGTGATTTTTTTCTTGAAAACCATCTGAGATGATGACCAAGCAATGAGAATTATTCATGCAAAATGGTTTACGAGCAAAAAATTCTGATGCTATTAGAAAAACGATTACTATGATCCGTATCGCTTCATAAGTCATGGAAATTCAGAATATTCTGTTCATCGTTTAGAAATTCGAGTCGGCTTGATACAAACAAGAACACATAATACTTGTTTCATTGAACTTTTCTTTTTCTTCTGTTGTTCCAAATGAAAAATGTTTAGTCAACAGTAGAAATGATTGTCTGTTGCTGCAATTGTGTACTAGACGACAAGAACATGATCATTATGCGTCAAGAACTGTAGAATTTTTGTTCAGCTTCTTCTATCTAAATCAAAATAAGATCTAAATAAAATAGAAATAAAAAGTAAATATGTTTTGATAAACGCTTTCCGTGCATGTGTCATTGTTATCATCAACAATTATTATACTAAAAACCATCAGTTCAATACAATCTTTAAATATACAAACGTATTTCACAGTCAGTGAGTAGAAGAGATTTTTTTGTTGGTTTAAACAAAGGCCATACATGATTCTGTTAAAACGTCGACGTTCCATGTCCTTGCTGTCATTATGTTTTCTTGTGGATGAGAAAGAGTTCCTTGTAAACATTTTGTGCCCAAATGGAAGTGTCATTCAATTTTTCTTTCTTTGTTCTATTTATGCCCATGGGAAAATGTTTGTACGACCGTCAACTGAAAGTATAAAAAATTAATGTGTTTTTTAATTATCATTTCCTTGGTAAGAATAGATTTCTTGATAGAATCTTAGAGGAATCCTACCAGGATTTAGTTTACTGTTAGGTAGAATCCTAACAAAATCCTATAAAATCCTAATGGATCCGAAAGTCGTGGGATTTGTTAGGATTCTGTTGGGATCTAAAAAGTACCCTAACAAGAAAATGTAATGATTGAACCCTAGACAAAACCCTAAGGTTTCCTTCAATGGATCATTGTTTTGTTCTTGTAAAGCTATCTCAGCAAAGAATCGGCGCTAAATGTCATTTATTAAGTCAGTTTAGACGTTGAAGTAATTCATGGCGTCATTTTCAGCACTAAAATGGTGATTTAATAGCGGTTAGAGATTCGTCTAACTGGACGTTTACTACATTAGATATGATTTACTGAAAATACACAGGGTGCTATTTAGTACACATTATATCATTTGTCATATCTCTTTTATTATCACCAGGTATCGATTGACCGAATCTCTTGTGATATTTATATTAATATTTTATTTTTGGTTTCAACCTCATTTTTCTATTCTTCTTTTCTTCGCTAGTTCACTGTACTGTTGTTTCGGTTAGTATATTCGTTGACTTATTATACAGGTAAGTTATCCGCTCACATTTGTTTATTTTTGGTAAACCCTGCAATGTTTTCCCTTGTGCTGAAAAATATGAAAAAATATTTGTATTAATTCACTAATAAACTCAGTACAGTATCTATATGTAACTATCCTCGTCATATTTCTTCTTACATGCTCTGCTACTCATGGCAATCTAGCTCTTGAATAGATTTCATTTACTTCACCTTTCTTCCATGTACGAAAATTGACAAATTTTGTGAATAAGCAATACCAGTTATATATTCTAAACATTTTCCATATTCGACTGTAACATTTGATGTGGCACTAACATCGGATAACAATTATCTTTTGGTATACGAACATAATCAGCAACGATACGAACTTTTTATATTCTCCTTCCCTTTACACATGCTGTGAGTCCTGAATGCTTTTCCATTGCTAATTGATGCGATTGTAATCATATATATTGTACTGTACGACGTCTGATCTTTCCCGATGACTGTATCAGTTGCAAAAAATCATGTTCTACAAGAAAATGTTGTGCGCCTCAATACGGATGGTTAATTGTTTTGAAAGCCTGTTAGTTACTACTTAAATCTTAAACCCAACAGTAAAGACTGAATATGAGTTTTATAGTATGTACCATCGGTGGATAGTCTTGAACTGAAAAATAACCGTTGAATCAATGCACTACAATGAAAATCTTGTATCTTATTGTAAATTTTTTTATTTTCTACAAACTCTGCCATTTTGAAAACAGTATGACTCAAGTTTTTTCATCTCGTAGCAACAAAAGATGTTCTTCAGTACTTTCCTGAACATCGTTTATTGAATTTTACGTTTAGCCGGAAATTATATTTCAAAATCAAAAGTGTGTAAAGAGCACTCAGTTTTTTCTATGGTCAAGCCATCCTTCCATTGAACATTTTCGAAAGAAATAACAATAGTATTAATGCTAGTTATATATTGTTTGATATATGTATATCTATGTATGCACGAAGTATTCTTCTACGATAGAGATAATGGTTTTATTTTATAGAAAAATTTCATCTCTCCCCGTTTCCTTATAAATGAAACGATAGATTATTTAGTGAAATGAGTGGTTACTAATGTTGGGTCAGACGCTACCATAGTATTTAGGATAATAATCTTTCTTTAGCTTAGTTTTTGATTTACGAACAATTGGTCTAGTGCTGAATTTTTGTTCTAAATTTTTCTCTAATTTCTCATTTTGGATCTGAAATACTATGCCCGACAACTGTCTTTAGTGATCCATGCTGTTCATTCTGTTCAAAAGCATATCATTAATCGATAATCAGTAAAAAACCGTCTTATGCAGACAACGCCCAAAGATGTTTTAGATTTTCTAATAATGACGAGACAAATAATCAACGTTTCTATTGTTCTTGTTTCACAGCATGGCATCTTCTTTACGAGAAATTTATTGAGGTGTACATAACTCTATTTACTTTACATATTTGAGAACATATACATCTTCGCATCTGTTTGGGAGAAAGATCGAAAGAAAACATGCAGAGAAAAAGAGAGAAAGAGAGAGAGAGAGAGAGAGAGAGAGAGAGTTAAGATTCTAATAATCATTCAGTAATTAATCAAAGATGGAATAATTTTATACGTGAGAGAGCCAAGTTATTCTTGATAAAAAGGAGAGGCAATCAACGAAATAATAAAAGAGCTGAATTTTTTTATTCAAGCGTATTTACTCAATAAAGTGCTTTTGACAGATCATTCCTAATATATTGTGTTTTGAAAAACTGGAATAGATCATGATTTACAGATACGCTGACTGTATGAAAGAAGATGTAATGTTATTTGCTCTTATTTGGATCTAGAAATTCTTGCTAGATTCGACTTCTTTGAGAGACTTATTCATTGTTCTTGTTCATCTAGTTATAGCAACACTATAGGTG